CCCCTCCCCCCTTCACTTCCCAGAGCTGGTTACAGGGTTATAAAAACAAAATCATAAATTAAATAACATTACCCAGATATACTACAATCAAATCCCATCCAAACATACTTTAACTCTACAAAATAGATAGATCTTAACACTTTACCAGCAAAATAATAATATAATTAATAATATAATTAAACATTATTACTAAAAATAATATAAATTCATCCATAATAAACTATTAATAATAATCTAAAATTTACTCATAAGCTAAGTAATACTTTTCAATCTCGTATTTTTTCTGAATATTTCAAATATATTGGAGTTATGCTAGTATTTCTTTACATTTTGGTTATAAAGTAAAAAAAATTGATCTGATATTGCAGCATAAAAGCAGAATTGTAGAACTGTAAGACATTTTGGTTGTTAATACTAAGAAAAATAATATGATTTCATGAACTCATTACATTGGTTTCAGGGGGCAGGAACTGATGAACAAGTCTTAACTGAAATTCTTGCATCTCGGACACCTGCTGAAATCCGGAATATAAAGCAAGCTTATCAGGAAGGTAACTTGTATTTGTGGGGTGGAGATTTTATAAAATTCCAGCGTGCATGCTCTGTAGAATATAATGTGTTGTTTTAATTTTTCCTGTAATAAAAATTGGTCAAGGGTGCTCCAGCTTAGTTTGTGTACTTAAGTGCTTTAGACAATATAATTATGCTTTTCTGTCTTCAATTCTTCAACATTCCAGACAAGGTGTATGTGTATGTACATGCACACATTTGTGTACAGTTTTATTTAGCCTGATTGCCTTCAACTTGTCTTCCAGGTAATCAGTCTACATGTGCAGGATGTGAACAAAAAAACAGACAAAAGATTGTCTCTGTTTTTTTGTTCATGTAGTTACTTTCTAAGAAGTGATTTCTCTATATATGTACCCTGTAACTTCTTCAGCTAGGTCAGTAAGAAGCAGCGCTCTTGTTATATACAAGGGACAATGAATGGCAATGTCTGTAATCAGCAGCATTCAGTGCATAGCAGCAATCAAGAAAAAAAAATCAGTACTAGTCAGGAAACGCAGCAATCAATGAGCAGTTTTTGCCTTGTATGATTTTTCATTCTTTAATTCCTCATCATACTCCCTTGTCAACTCCTATTTAATCTCATTGTTTGTGTGGTCATAATTCTCATCTGAGAAATATCTTACATGTGTGCTAAGAAGGCTTAGATCTTTTAGCCAATTTTCTTGATACAAGATGTTCTATACAGGGATAAGTTAAATTTTGTTTAATAATGCAAGGGTTTTTTTTTGCAGAATATGGAGCTGATTTAGAAGATCATATAACATCAGATACTTCTGGTTACTATCAGCGAATGCTGGTAGCTCTTCTACAAGTAAGCTCTTAAGATTGAAATCAAATAAATGGTTCAGAAATTGACCTGCTCTTGTATTAACTTGTGTTCCTTGGATCTTTGAGCCTGGACTTTGGAAACATACTGCAGGCAGCTAGTGGGCTTTCTTGAGGAAGAAGAAAGGAAGGATAAGTGAATGGGTAGAGTTGGTTTGGAAGTCACATGCAGCTCTGGAGCTGCAAGATGCCTAACTGGATGAATTTTTCTTTTTCAAAATATGACTACAGAAATATCATGGATGCATTGATATTTTTGTTTCTTACCTCTAGTCCTGAGTTGACTTCCATCTTTCTGTCTTTATGGGTACAGGGCTTGCAGTTGTGCTGCATTTTTAATAGCACTGGCAGTTCAGGGTACTTTGCCATACTATTTATTCAGGTCTTTGAGCACCTGAAATTCAAAAGCCAAAGCATCTGCTAAGAAAGAGAAAGAAAGAAAGAAAGAAAGAAAGAAAGAAAGAAAGAAAGAAAGAAAGAATCCAGATATAAAAGATTTGACTATGACATAATAACCACTGATTTTTAAATACTATTTATACTCTTGATTCACAGAGTCATAAATCTTTTTCTTGTATTCATTTAGGCTAACAGAGACCCTGATGGCCAGATTAAACAAAATCTAATTGAGCAAGATGCTCAGGTAGGTAAAGATTCCCTCTTTCTGTTTCATCTAAATATATCTAAAATGGCACCATCAGGACATAAGAATGTAAGAGATCTCAAGTGATTGAACAAGCTTGATGTTAGTATGGAAAAGCTACTGGCAATTTTTTCAGCAAAATGTCATTACCATAAAGAAGCCAGATATTCTAGCTATTTTTTCCCTTGTATGAAGAACAATAATTGTATAATTACAATTATTATAAATAATTGAATAATAAATATATAATAATAAATTACACACAGACAGACAGACACACAGAGACAGACAGACAAACACACACACACACACACACACACACACACACACACACAATAAGTAAATAAATGAATCATTTTTTCGAATCAGTGGTAGATCCTAGATCTCCCCTTGAATTGTATGGTTTCATTCTCAAACTATCTGAAGTAAATTATTTCTAGTTTGAATGTTTATGCAAGTAGGTCTTTGAGACAGCAGGCATCATTTAGTTTTGGAGGGATAAAAAATAGAGACTATTGTCTTCATCCCTCATAATAATAATAATAATAATAATAATAATAATAATAATAATAATAATAATAATAATAATAATAATAATAATAATAATATAAGCCCTATCCCCAAAATAAGCCCTGGTTTTGGGGCGAGGCACATACCTAAAAATCAAGCTAGGGCGGGGGCGAGAGTGTGGAGCTGCTCCATGCGCCCCGCACCCACTTACCTTGCAGCCAGGCCTTTCCTTGCTGGCCCACTTCTTCTGCAGCATCTTCTGCAGCAAGGTGTGCATTTCTCAGGTACAGGCCTTTCCAGAAAGGCTTGACTGCAGGCCAGAATGCAGCTGCAGAATGAAGCTGCTCCTTCGGCCGCAGAAGAAGTGGGCCGGCTGGGCAGGGCTGTCGATGCCAGAGGTGAGTATAAAAACCACCCCCAAAAAATAAGACCTGATGCCTCTTTTGGAAGCAAAAAAAAAAAAAAAAAAGACCAGTCTTATTTTCGGGGAAACAGTAGAAAAATGAAAAAGTTGGTAATAAGAGCTTTAAAAGTTTATAATTGATATCCCCTTTTAAAAGTTGGAAATAGGGGATATGTTTTACATTTTCATGTCTCCAAAAACATCAGTTTGGAATCCTGTCCTGGAGATCTGCGCAGTATACATTATTTTTGTACTGAAATCTATAAATCTGGTATCTAAGTAAGTGGCAACACCTAACTGACCTTGATTGATCTTACAAAGGCAAGCTGAATCAGCCATAATTAAAAGGACTTGAACAGGAGACAAACTTCTCTATTGTTATAGACTTGGAGGTCCAGTTTCTTGAAGTCTAAGTAACTACCTGGAGCTGGCCTCTACACAGCGAAGTAGTTACTTTTTTTTTCTTTTTTTTTTTTTTTTAAATAAATTTTTTATTGATTTTTCATTAAAAAACAAAAACATAAATCTTTTATCACAATATCAACCAAAAAAAAAGAATCAACACTAATCAGTACATTCATGGACATGTCCGGTGTCCCCCTCCTGCACCACCCTCTCACTTGCCTACACCTTCCTCCTCCACATCCTACCGCCACTCCTCCTTCCTCCCTCTTTTCTACCTCCCTTTCTCCCTCAACCATCCCGTCAGTGCAGTTGGGGTATCACCGGGCACCTCCTTAACATACATATATATACATATAAATCTATAATACCAACCTACCCCTTTCCCCCCTCCCCCCCCAGGACTTCCCGAAGCTAATCTAGGAAATAAATACATAATCATCCAATTCTAATCAAAACTACTCATTATTACTACACACTAGTACAAAATTGCTCTGACTCTAAAATAACATTAAATTATAACAAAAAAAAGAAATTTTTTTTTAAAATTATATTATATAATATACCTATTTTTATTCTACGTTTTTAATCAAAAGCTACATAATAATTTTTCAGTTCATACTTTCTCTGAATATAATCTATCCATCTTCTCCATATTGAGATAAATTTTTCCTGAGAATGATCCTTCAGGTACGCGGATATTTTTGCCATCTCTGCAAAATATGATACTTTCTGTCTCCAATCATCCATAGTTGGTAATATCTTTTTTTTCCAAATTTGAGCAACTAATGTCCTTGCTGCTGTTATACAATACAACATCAGTGTCATTTCTTTTTGATCCAAATTGTCCATAATACCCAATAAAAATAACTGAGGAGTAAATTTTATCTTTTTCTTAAAAATCTGTTGAATATTCCACCAAATCTTAATCCAAAAAGCTTTAACATCCCTACATGTCCACCAAATATGATAATAAGTAGCATCCATACTACCACATCTCCAACATTTTGGTTGCAAATTCGGATACATGCAAGACAATTTTTGAGGGTCCAAATGCCATCTATAAAACATTTTATAGAAATTTTCCCTTAAATTCTGTGCTTGAGTGAACTTGACATTTCTTACCCAAATTTTCTCCCAAGTTTCCAATTTAATTGGTTCTTGGATATTTTGAGCCCATTTAATCATACAATCTTTAACCAATTCCGTTTCCGAATCAAATTCTATCAAAACACTATATATTCTAATATGGGCTCTACTTTGATCTTTAATCTGTTTTATCAAGTTCACATCTTCTAGCATTAAACCCAATTTTTGGTCTATATGCCATCTCTCAACAAGTTGAAGATGTAACAACCAGGACTGGAGTACCTTATCCTGTTTTAACTCTTCCAATGATTTAATTTGCCAGTCCTGTCCTCTTAACCTAAGTAACTTTTTGTAAACTACAGGTTAAAAAGTAGTTACTTTTTAACCTGTAACTCCAGTTGATGCTTTTTATATGAAATGGGGAAAGGAGGAGGAATGTCCAGGCTTGCTTTATTTGCAGAGAGGTTCTGCCAAATACGACTGTCTCACTTACATCCATGGAAAAGCCTTGAACAAGTGGTTCCCTCCAGATATTGGTGGACTACATTTTTAGCAACTTCAAATATTATTTAGAATGCATTTCATTTATTGTTCTAGTTGTATCCAAAAAATTAAAAATTGTCTAGTGAGATTGATTAAGCTGGTGGGGCAAACACTGTGTGTATTGGTAGTTTCGTAACTGATCCTTTCTTGCTTTGTTCACTCAGACTTCTACCAGCACCTGTGCATGACAGTACTTAGTTTCTTTGTTTCGAATTTAACTCTTATTCAGTGTGCCAGTTTTTTTAAATAACTTGGTACATTTTCAATATTAAGGGCTTGAGATTATATGAATTGAAGTCAAACATGTATGGAAAACCACCAGATGGAGAAGAGGGTACTATACTGTACTGGTTGACTTTGATGTACGACGTATAATTAATACTACTCAGAGTGCACGAAGGATTTAAAAGAAGGATTTAAAAGGAGTGCTAAACTACTTGCCTAACATTATTTCAAAGTAATTATAATTCAGCGCATATAAGTGTTCCAGGAATCTTAGGAAAGCAAAGAGTCCATTGAATAATGTTTTCCGTGGTTTTGTTAATATTTGGTTTACTATAGGGAAAGAGGAGTGGTAGCAACCAATAATTTTGTTGCTCATAGAAGATCATATTTCTTCTTAAATCAGATAAGCTTTATAGTTAATTATAGTAATTAACTGTTTCTTCATAGGGTAGTGTTTTCTGTCAACAGATGTTTAAGTTTTAGATGGTTGAGAGATGTATTCTCCCCCAGAAAAAAGAAGACAAAAAGGGCCACCTTTATGCTGCTCCTGCTTTCAGACAGTTTGTTCTCTACTGTTTGGATGCCTTGTTTAATAAAGATCTTAGTATTGTGCCAGTTATCAAATAGTACATGAATATATTCTTTGTGTAACCAAGTAGTAGATCCCTCAAAAGTAGTATCTATTGTCACGCAGAGGGGGCAGGAGGGGACTACATAAATAAAGCAGGGAATGTCTATGGAGTTTCTCAATCATCCAAGTCATGATTGTCCCAAAAGTGCACCCTTGGGAAAAGCAGGGAACGGGCAGAGGATCTTAAGGAGTTATTTGTGAGGCTGTCCAAAATGGTCCAAAAAGGTAGCCGATGATTTGCTACCTTCTTGCTATAAATGCCAACTGAATAGCAAAGATAGAATGATACAAGATTGTTTCTGCCAGGATATAATTGGTTGAATAATATTGATACCTGTAGTGGTATGTAGGAATGTCCTTGGAAGATAAGAGGAAGAGCTATACAGTAACAAAAGGCAGCCATGTCCTCAGAAGGAATGGGGTCCTGCCAAATGCGTCAGAAGTGACCCTCCCTAGTTTCCTGGACTATAAAGACAAGGGGTGGGGGGGGGGAAAGAGAGATATACTTGCAGACTTCCAAGATTCTGTTAACAGACCTTGCAATAAAATTATAGCTAATACTTCTGGGTATGCTTCTTGTCTGGATTAACTTGTGAAGTTGACAATAACTGAGATTGTAATATCTTCGAGTTATGGCCATTTGTTCAGTGACAAAAAAAATGGATCTAATCCACAGTACATCTCATTGATCCTATTTTATTCTCTTTTATAAGAGCTGGACTTAGAATTTGCTTTTAATTAGATAGATTGGACATTTAAAAACAGCCACTTATTAAAAGAGGAAGGAGATTAATTTTATAAGAGGTAGTCTTCAATTTATGACCACGATTGAGACCATAATTTACATCAAAAATCCTTGCAGTCATGTCAGACGCAATTTTGTGACAATTTTTACAGTGGTTAGATCAAGCATATCAAACTGCTGACTTGCAGGCCGGATGCGTCACACCGAAACCGCGCCCACCCCATTGCCAGCAATGGGGAAAAAGTTGTGATACGTCGCGCGACGCCACGTGACATCGCAAGTTTGAGATGCCTGGGTTAGATGAATCACACTCATTAAGTAAATTACATGGTCATTAAGTGAATCCAGTTTCCTCAATATGGTGTAAAAATACATTACTATATATTTAATAATAATAATAATAATAATAATAATAATAATAATAATAATAATAATAATAATAAAGTTGGAAGGGACCCTGGAGGTCATCTAGTCCAATCCCCTGCTCAGGCAGGAAACCCTATACCATTTCAGACAAATGGCTGTCCAGTCTCTTCTTAAAAACTTCCAGTGTTGGAGCATTCACCACTTCTGGAGGCAGGTTGTTCCACTGGTTAATTGTTCTAACTGTCAGGAAGTTTCTCCTTAGTTCTAGGCTGCTTCTCTCCTTGATTAGTTTCCATCCGTTGCTTCTTGTCCTGCCCTCAGGTGCCTTGGAAAATAGCTTGACTCCCTCTTCTTTGTGGCAGCCCCTGAGATATTGTTATCATTTACAAAGTCTATTCTGAAATGGTTTAAATTGTGTGGGGTTTTTTTTTTTAAAAAAACAAACAAACACAGACTGGCATCTAGAATTTATTTTCTTTTACAAAGTATTTGAAATATCCACATTCCACAGTGTGAAGCTGTTGTTTCATGAGAAAATTAGAAAGGACCAAAATAATGGGTTCTTACTGAGATTGGTGGGAATTATAGTCCAACACATTTGGAGAGTAGCAGTTTTGGGAAGACTGTGATGGGGAATCATATTGAAGTGGCCAAAAGAATGAATGCAAAAACACTAGTTGTGTTAAGGATGGTTCAAAGGTTCTCTGGTAAACTCATAATCTAATATTGGACCCTTATCCAAGATAAGTGGACCCTTAGCTTTATGTAGAACACAGAAAAATCTTACTATTTCTTTTCATTAATGATGAACTTTTTTTTATTCTAACAGGAGTTGTTTAGAGCTGGGGAGTTGAAATGGGGAACAGATGAAGAAAAATTTATTACCATTCTGAGTACTCGAAGTACAGTTCACTTAAGAAAGGGTGAGTAGTACTGAAAAGAGTAGTGATACGTGTTTTTAATACCTTTAATAAATATGTACAATAGATGCACACTAAGGTGGAATGTTATTTCTAAATATTTAAATTTCCCCCTTTCTAGCCCACTTAATTGTCCTGCCCATATGTTGAAGAATGTATATGAGTTTGAATGCATGTTTTTTTTCTAAGCTTGTTTGAAGAAGTTGAAAGTAAGTAATAAGTAATAGTTAAAATGTAGATATCACCTTTTACCTCTTTTTTGATCTTTCAGTTTTTGACAAATACATGACTATTTCTGGCTTTCAAATTGAAGAAACAATTGATCGTGAAACATCTGGTGCACTAGAAAAGCTGCTTCTGGCAGTTGGTAATGTATAGTCCTATTTTTGATTAATCTTAAACTTGCATATGCTAGGCCTGTGTTTCTAGCAACATAGATTCTATTTAATTAAGTGGCCTCAAATCACTTCAGGACAGTGTTGCAGGAGAAGTTTCCTGTCAGTTTTTTCCTGTAGCTCTGACCAGAGACCTTCCAGGCTGGATGGTTTGTGGATTGCTGGCAATATACTCCAAAATTGCCCAGACTTAAAGACCTCCAGACAAGCTACAGAGGCTTTGGACTGAGCAGCTGCACTGTAGACAACAATTCTATTGCTCTGTAAGTTATAGTTAGCCCTTTGTTGCAAGCCCACGAGGCACTGGGCTGAGCAGCTGTGAAATGGATGGTCATGCCACACAAGGAGCAGCTGCCAGTCATAGTCACCTAAGCAGCAGTGGCATGACTAGTGGCTCTATGGCTGTGTATGTTCCAAATATGTTTTGGAGCAAATATGCCAATGTAAAAATGTAAACATTGTCACAAAATTGCGTCTGACATGACTGCAAGGACTTTTGATGTAAATTATGGTCTCAATCGTGGTCATAAATTGAGGACTACCTCTTATAAAATTAATCTGCTTCCTCTTTTAATAAGTGGCTGTTTTTAAATGTCCAATCTGATTAAAAGCAAACTCTTAAGTCCAGCTCTTATAAAAGAGAATAAAATAGGTTCAATGAGATGTACTGTGGATTAGATCCATTTTTTTGGAAACAGAAATGTCTTTACATAAAAAGTGTTAATGACTTTTCAAATACCTCTCTGGAACAGAATGATTCAGTATCATCTCTGTATATTTAATTTCATGACAATCTTATGTTCATTTATTTTAATTCCAGATTTAAAATGATAAAGCAGAAAAGATAACTTTATCCTTGTAGGGGATGACCAGGCAGAGCCTGAGGGAAGTGTTAAACACAGCTAACTCCCCCTAGTAGTTGATGACTTCTAAGCAATGTCACCATTTGTGCCTCGCAACTGCTCAGATGAAGCCTCTTTAGCTTTCCTGCCTGAGCAGGGGGTTGGACTAGATGGCCTCCAAGTCCCTTCCAACTTTATATTGTTATTATTATTGTTGTTGTTGTTGTTGTTGTTGTTGTTATTATTATTATTATTATTATTATTATTATTATTATTATTATTATAGTTCCTGCTTAGTCACCAGTTAGCCAGGCAATGGAGGAGGGTAGTGGCATGGCCATGTTAGCCAGGAACTTTGGAAGTTCTTAGCTGTCTGGTTCATATAAAAGGACAAGTCAACCCAAAGTTCACTGAGAGGCTGTGGAATGGTGATAACCATGTTGCTATGCATGTCACAGGTAGCTCTGCTGGAGGAAGGGAAGAGAAGTAATTTGAAAGTATAGCAACTTGCCAAAAATAAAGATGACGAATGCTAGTAAGTAACGTCCTTCAGAATGTAGCATTCTGTTAAATTGGCGCTTCTTAACGGTCATCTCCCAAGGACATATTTAACTGGTTTGTACATGCTATGAGTTGGAGATATCTTTATATTAAACTTCCCAATAGCACAAAGTATTGGTGGTGCAATTCCTCTACTATAAGGAAGGTTGGACTAAGAGAACAACTGGCTTAAAGTCACCCAATGAGCCCTTCAGTTAAATGAAGAACTAACTTGGGTCTTATTTAGGCAACTCCAGTGTCATAGATTGCACTATACTTCTGATCAGAGAATTGTCAAAGGTTGTTTCTCTTCAATTCCCAGTTTAAATAGATAATAATGTGTGATAGAAATTGTGGATCAAATAATTTATTGTAAATACTTGAAAACTACTTTGCTGTCTTCAGGGGAATAAATGCCATTTACATAAGCTGCTTGTCATATGGTAAAGTAATGTTAAAACATTTTGTGATTCAGATGGATTGTTTTTCTTCTTCCAGTGAAATGTGCTCGAAGTGTTCCTGCCTATTTTGCTGAATGTCTCTTTTATGCAATGAAAGTAAGTATTTATCATTTTTAAATAAAATCAGCATCTTCAAGCACTATTGTTTAAACAACCTCAGATTGACAACATCTTAAGTTACTTTCTTGAACATGAATATTTTGGCTTCTTGTTATTCCATGTATATTTATTCAGAAATAAGGCTCATTGTGTTCAATGAACTTTATATTTTAGGAACACATCTGTAGGATTCTGAGGAAACATTTCATTTTATGGATTTTTCAGCTCTTTCAGTGTTTGTAACATTTACAATATAGTATTTGAAATGTACATTTGAGTACTGAGTAATAATTATTAGTTGATCTGATGTGAGGTGTTCATATGATCCATTTTCAATATGTTGTTTAAAAAGTTGCAGCAATTTCTACAAAGCTGTATCCATTTTTTTAGTTTTATTAATTTTTTAATTTGTTTTGACAATTTTTATTTTACCTGCATTCCCATGTTTGAATTTTTTTTTGAAAGTTGCATTAAAGAAGGGGTTCTAAAACTGAAGACAATTTTCTCCAAGGGGCTAATTTAATTATTTTTTATTTATCAAATTTATTTGCCATTCTCTGGAGACTTGGGCATATAGTGGAACTAATGGACCAATTTGTAATTGCTTTGTTAGCAAGTTGAGATACTGGTATAAAATGACAGAGTCTGGCTTTTTTATGGGAGTAATGACACTATTCAAGGCTGGGAAAAGGGGTAATTGGGTCCAACAGTTTAAGAACCTTTGTTATTAAAAAAATAATAAATGAATTGTTCCTCTTGAGTTGCAAGCATTTCATACATCATGCTGAGTCATTATTTAGTTTTAACTGTGGTTTGTTGAATTAGATACTTTGTCTTAGTGGCTCCAGCAGAAAGAATTAAACAATGGGTTTAGTAGAATTACTGCCGAGCGCCTTTAATCGGTTGCTTAACCTTGTTTTACTAGGGAGCAGGCACTGATGATGATACATTGATCAGAATCATGGTTTCAAGGAGTGAAAAAGATCTACTTGATATCAGGCAGGCATTCAGAAGGGATTTTGCAAAAAGTTTGCACCATGTAATTCAGGTAAATTTTACCTTACCCATTAATTATATTATTTGTAACAGAAAGTACTGGTGTTTCATGTGTTAATTTTCAGAAGTGTATGTATTATAGTCTGCCAGGCTTTAAGTTATGTTTCAGCTAGGTTAGTTAAAACAGAAGCATTTTATAATCATGGGTTGTTGAGGAATTTGTGTTATTATTTGTATGTTAAATTTATATTCCACTCTTCTTCTAGGAGCTCAAAATTTATACCCTCAACAATTCTGTGGGCCATTAGGGCTGAGACAGTGATTGCTCCCAAATCACTTAATGAGCTTCTATGGCTGAGGGTGACCTTGAATCTGATACTTCTGATCAACTCAGCCTACCCACATATCAGTTCTGGTGTAGGCATTTTATCAAGGGCAACAGCATATTTAAACTTTCTTTTTGTTAGAACTTATAATTTGCTAGTAGTAGTATTTGTAGACAGTGTTGGTTTTGCAGTTTTAGATTTTTGATGAACAAAAATACTTTGCTTGATAGTTTGTTTACAACATCATATGATTAGAGAATAGTCATACAAACAGCAATACTGGAAAAACTGTTCCTTTTTAAAAATATATGGACTCATTGTTGATTGATCCTGTACTTTATAGAAAGATACATCTGGTGACTACAGGAAGGGGCTTCTGCTGCTGTGTGGAGGAGAAGACTAGTGAAATTTACAATAACACAGAGGACAGAATCTCAAATCATGCCTTGTGCCTTTTTCCAGTTGTATGGTATTTACATAGATTTGCAGTCTTCTCTGTATCCATGCTGGCATTTTTATGCCAGAAGCAGCGTACTGTTGTTAGTCATGTATTATGATGCTTCTTCTTGCACTGGCTTGCTTACATAAGATTATTTTCTTTACTAGGGGAGTTATGTTGTTTCATGCATTTTTTTACATAATTGAAATTTACAGTTTGCTGTTTACTTAAGTCGCAGTAAAATCAATGGGACAAATTTGGATCCAATCTTTCATGTGTACATTCCTTATTGAAAAAAATCAACAAAAGTGCCTTTTAAATAAATGGGCTTTTATTTTTAAAATCAAAAGCCCAAAATATGAGGTGCTTCTAGGCAAAGCATACAATTAGGGCCTGCTAAAGTTTTGCAGTTGGTCAAGATGACACAGTTTTCCTGAAGGAAAACCAGAGTTTTCCACTGCTGTTTCTGACTGTTTTTATCACACAAAGAATCGGGAGGAAAAGCTATAATAATTGCACAATGTCTTTTGAGAGGATAGTGCTAATGGTTGGCTATCTAAGAACATTCCTTCATTTCAGCAAAAGTGGAAGTAAGATGCATTCCAAGAAACAAAACCAAATTTCCTCTTAGCTAAACTTGCACTATATATCTTGCACTTTTTACTCATAAAGAATGTATCTGCTAATAGATTTAAAACTGTGAGCTATGCATTGACTGTCCTCATGTAATGTGATTTTGGTACAATTAAAAATGTTTATAACCTACTGAATGGCCTAGTTGTCTCTATGGTACCCTGAGGAATGCCGCTAGGCTCACTGTGAATACACGGTTTCACTTAAGCTTAAAAAATATTTTCCATATTTACATTTTGTTAGAATTAGCACGAAGGATCTTTCTTTAACCATTAGAAAGTTTCATCTGCAATCTCTGGGTCTTTTATAATTTCACTGTAGATTGTTGTATGCTTATATTCTGCTGAAGGTTAGAAAGATTTTGAAAATGTCACAATATAACAACAACAAAACAACAACAACAACAATAATGATAATAATAATATGCCTTTTGATGGAATTGAGGTGTAGAACACAAACATACATAATGAAGAAAACATCTGTTAGTAAATTTCTAAGTAATATTCCTGCTTTAATAAATAGTGTAAAATATATTTGTAAATGAAAAGGAGAAGAGGGGCACTGGTTCACTGACTTGTTCAAATGCCATAAAGGTAAAAATTTACTGCTATGTGAGGATAAAGGGTTACAGTCTTATGTATGGTGAGAATACTGTTCTATACTTCAATTAGGAATGAACTTTGAATCCAGTCTAGAATGGGAACATCTTTAACTTATTCAAATAGGAGTGGCAGTATCTCATTTTGTATATAATATCCTTATGTGATTTATTTTACCCTTTATCCTAACCTTTTGCCGGACAATGAAAAAGAGGAGCTGCGGTTTTCTTAAACAACAGAATGAAGAATGAATAGGGACAAGCTTCTCAGACAAATGCAGAGTAGACTGAAGCACTTCCAAGTTGGATCATTTGACTACAAATTAGATGGGAGTCTCCTTATATAACCCTAATTGTTATTGTATTTTGAAAAATAACTTTATCCAGAGGTGTTGGCACTCAATAATTATATGGTAGAAATATTTACTACATTATTACAATGAGAACAGTACTGGATGCCCCTGAGGGAAGTAGAAATCGCTAAAAGTACCAACCAAGATCTGAAGCTAGAATAAAAAGCATTCAAATAAAGGTAAATTTCACAATGCAGATTTCTGAAAATACTGATATTGCAGGATTTTATTGCTTAATATAATAATAGAAGTCAGGGCCACAGGAATAGGGTGTTTAACCAGCACTACACAAAAAGGGATTTTTCCTGATCACAAAGGCTTGCTGGCTGGGGAATTCTGGGAATTGAAGTCCAGGCATCTTAAAATGAGATCTAGACAGCAATGCAGACTCTTGAAGAACCTAATACAATTTCATCCTACCTCTCAACAGACCTACTTCGAAACTGCTGAAGATCTCTGCATCTAAAAATATGAAGTGATTGTAAATTGTAAAAATATGAAGTGTGATTGTAAATCACTTGGTTACGTGAAGATATTTAAGAACCCCCAAAACCGAAAAGCAAACCCTAAAGTCTATGCAATCTAGGCTTCATAAAGATTATTATTATTATTATTATTATTATTTTAATTTGTATACCGCCCTTCTCCCATAGGACTCAGGGCGGTTCACAGCATATTAAAAACAAATAATATACCCAAAATACAAAAAATACACAATACAAAAATACAAAAATACAAAAGAATAAACCCTGATTAATATTGTTTATTTTCTTTGTTCCTCGTCACATTTCTTTTAATCAAATCTCTATCATGTTCAGTCATGTCCAACCCTTCTCCATCTCTGCTAATTCTCCATTTGAAAGAAAATTAGAAATAATTTTCAACTAAATTCAGCTTGTAACTTTCTTTCGTACCAGAGGGAAGGAGGGAGAAAGCTTTCACTATTAAGATTGATGTTAGCCCTTCAAGGTAGGTCAGGCCAGGAAACATATCCTGCAAGAAATATTGGAATTCTATTTTACTGATGTTGATTATAGTCATGGAAAATACGAAAGTCTGGTATTATTTTCTGTCCTTCCTTATACAAAGAGAATGAAAATTGAATTATTTTAAGCATCTTCTTAATCCCTTAAGACCATATCAGGCCTGGATATGGGATGGAAATGGCTTTGGTTGTGCTTTTTGATGATCTCTGGGAAGGGTATGGGGATAGTGCATCCATCCTTGCTCTGCTTGACCTCTCAGCAGCCGTTGATACCGTTGACCATGGCATCCTTCTAGAGCAGCTTGGAGAGGGTTGGGAATAGGAGGGCTCTGTGTTGTGCTGGTTCACTTCTTTCTTCTGCAGCTACTCTCAGTATTGATAGGAAGTGAGAGGTTTATCCCATGTCCATTACTTTGTGGGGTTCCATAGAGCTTGGTACTCTCTCTGCTTCTACTTAACATCTTACCTGAAGCCACTGAGAGAGATCATCTGCCACCACGAACTGAGATAGCATCAATATGTTGATGACACCCAGCTGTTTGTCTAAAGCCATAGTGAGTTAAGCAGTGCTGTGACCTACCTCTTGCAGTGCTTGAAGGCTGTTAAGGACTGGATGGGGAGTGATGGGTTCAAACTGAACCTTGGGAAAACTGAGTGGTTCTGGATTTGGGGTTCTTGGATCCATGGAGAATTGCCATCTTTGATCTTGGATGAGGTGGCACTGCCCCAAAGAGACCCAATGTGTAATTAGATTAGATAACCTTTATTGTCATTTTTTACTGTGGGCACAATGGCACGCATCAAAAATGAAATTTAGTTGCTTCCTCTCAAAGTGTACACATAGATAACACACATTTAAAACATACTATATACAACATTTGTATAGACCTATACAAATATAGACCCTTACATATCAGTATAGACCCTTACATATCAGTAACATATAAATATTAACAACTGTTCATCTCGAATACATAACGGAAGGAGGAAGCTTTAGAATTCACATGGTTAATATTGTGTGGAACAAAGCTTGACTGAATCTGGATGTTCTGCTTTGGATACCACGGAGCCTCCTCCCAGAAGGTAACAAGGAAAACAGGTCGTGAAGAGGATGTATTGTGTCCCAGACAATCTTACGGACCTTGCTCAAGCAACGCTTATGTGCTATGTCCTGGATGGAAGGGAGGGAACTGCCAATAATATTTTCAGCCATCCTCACCACTCTCTGCACTGCCTTCCTGTCTGAAGCAGTGATGCTTCTAAACCAGACTGTGATGCTGTATGACAGGATGCTCTCGATCATCCCTCTGTAGAAAGTGGTAAGGATAGGGAAAGGAAGATGAGCTTTTCTCATGCGACGCAGAAAATGCAGGTGGTGCTGTGACCACTTCACCAGTGTCTCACTGTTGAGTGACCAAACCGCCCTACTTATTAACTGCACACCCATGAATTTGATGCTGGTAACCATCTCTATCTGGGGGTTCTTTGGGCTTATAACTCCTGCTCAAGGAACAGGTGGCAGTCATGGCCAGGAGGGCTTTGCGGAACTGTGGCTTGTGCACCAGTTATGTACTTTTTAGACCAACAATCCCTGCTCACTGTCACACCCTAATCACCTCCCGTCTTGATATTGTAATGTGTTCTGCATGGATTGCACATGAAAAGCATTCAGAAATTCCAATTGGTTCAAAATGCAGCGGCTGTATGGTTTTGTGCAGACCTAGATGTGCACATGTTACCTTTCCTGCAGGAACTGAATTGGCTGCCTATTTGTTTCCAGATGCAATTCAAGGTGCTAATTGTCCCCTTTATAGCTTGGGATCAGGTTATCTAAAAGACCATTTACATTCCACAGACCCAATAGAGTGGGGAGTCAGGGAATGTTGTGGGACCTGTCTCAGTACATCTGGCGGGCCCTGGAAGAACGGTTTTCTCCATGGTGGCTCTTTCCCTTTAGAATATCATCCCTGAAGAGATGAGACTGGCCTCCACTTTTGCAAGGACCTGAAGACCTGGTCCTATTAATAGGCCTGGGAAACCCAAAGCGGGATGAAGCCCATCAAGTGGCTCGTTTGATTGTGTATTTTCGCCAAGAGGTGGGGGGAATTACTGTTTTTTATTTTTTTATATATATAGGGGTTTTTTTTTATTGTTTTAGCCACCCAGAGTCACTGAGAATGAGTGGGAGATCATATCAATCAAATAAATAAAGGGAAAGGGAAATGTTTGCCCTGTCTAATAATTTCTGATTCTAGGGGCAGTGCTCATCTCTATTTCTTAGTCAAGAGAGTCAGTATTGTCCAAAGACAATTCCATGGTCATGTGGCCAGCATGACTATACACTGAGGCACATGGAACACTGTTACTGTCCTACCAAAGTAGTACTTATTTATCTACTCACATTTGCTAGGTAGGCAGGAGATGGGGCAAGTAATGAGAGCTCACCCCGTTGCATGGCACTTGGGTCTCAAACCTGGACTGTTAGCTTTCCAGCTGACAAGCTCAGCATCTTTAACCACTGAGCCATTACAGACTCATAAATAAATAAGTAGTAAGTAAGTAAGTAAGTAAGTAAGTAAGTAAGTAAGTAAGTAAGTAAGTAAATAAATAAATAAATAAATAAATAAATAAATACTTCTTTTAAGTACGATAGCCTGACTATTTATATAACTACTGTGAATGTTATTGTAGCTTATTAGTAAAACTTGACTTGTTTTTTGCTTGGAAGTGGACATTGCTTTGCCCTTGAAGTTTCCCCTCCTATTTATGCTCTGCTTCCTTGAACTTTATTTAAAACCACATTTTTTTCTCCACAGGATTTATAATGTTCTGGAATACGTTTTGATTTAGTGATTTGTAAGCCAAGATTTATGTTTCAACATATTTGAGCGCATAAGCAAATGTACTTTATTCAATAAACTGTTGGTACACTATCATGGATTAATGAGTGTGAAAACTTGACCAGTGGCTTTATTATTGTCCATTTTAACAGAGAAATATATGGCTGACCAGAAGATGGTGCTAGCGAGTTATTTATGCCTTTATCAAGTTTTCAACAATCCAACTTTTTTTTTTATTTTCAAGCCAGTGAGATTGTGTCTCAGTTTCCAATCAGTAGACATCAACCTCTTTTCTACATATATGTTTTCATTCTGTCTAAAATAAATCTTTTAAAAGTATCCTAATGACTTTTCT